AAAATGACTACAATAGTATCGTGCAGTGCGGTTTAAAATAATAGCAGGTGTTTGGCGGTGGTGAATATGGCTCGCAATCAATAGCCTCGTTCACACGAGACCTCGTATTTATGAAATACGGTATTTGCAAAATACCGAATCTGAGACAAATACGCGCTGAGCGTTCACACGCTGATTCGCGGCTCCAGAAATACGGTATTTGCGAGCTGCGAGCTGCTTTAAACAATCAAGCGAACAATGCGAAATAAACAATGCAATGCGCACCAACTGCCGATAAAATACGTAGACTGGTCCGCGCTCGACAGTTCCACTCGCGTTACACTGGAACTGTCAAGCGCGAACCAGTCTATAAAATACGCGGCTTCAGAAATCCGGTATTTAGCGTTCACACGAGAAAATGCGCGGTCCAAGAGATCCGGTATTTCTCAAGCACGGCAAATTATTCGGGGTTTGGGAAGCCGCGTAATTACATCAAATACCGGATCTGTTTAGATACCGTATTTCTTAGACCGCGCATTTTGCCTCGTGTGAACGCTAAATACCGGATTTCTTGCTACGTGTGAACGCGGCTATTAGCTGTTGCCTACACGCTTCTGGCCTGAAATGGCATAGGGGAATTATCGCGTTGACAGAAATTATATATATAGCGACAATGACAAGTATATCAAATGGCCATCAGACGATTAATATATGCCCACATTTATTTCCTTGCAATTCACGTTGGGCGGTCATGTTACTGTAAGAAATCAAAGAATATAAGAAATCATAACAGTTGCTAGCTGTAATAAATTTTAATTAGCAATATCCACTGTAATTTTTTTCAGTATTAAAATACTGAAAATATTACAGTGGATATTGCAGTTTACCAGAACATTTATAACTTTTCTGCCTCCGACTGTTTTTTTTGTTAGTTGGCTTTGCGTATAATTTCCTAGTTCTTACACGTTTATTAATTTTTACAAATGATGGCTCTAAAATAATATCTTTCTCACCCGCCATTTTAAATTAATGTAGTTTTCAGTTTTAAGAGACGTCATTCACCGATATACGTACAGGAATTTCAAGGAAAGAAAGATTCTTTACTGCGTTATATTTCGTGCTGTTTCTGGAGGGTTATAAAACATGCAGGGCTCACTGCATGTAATTCTTCTAATGATTCTCGTATCCATCCTGCAATGCTCCTCTCAGATCCTGCATAAAATTATTTATATGTGATAACATTATTACCAATATTCGAAAACAAACTTACAAACTAAAGCACTATATTTCACAATCTATAAATTGGTACAATATACTATAAAATCAAGAACTTGTTTAATAAATTAATACCTACTCCTTTAATCCCTCTATCCCGGACAACGAGTAACTTTATGTTTTTGTTACGCACATTTGTTGCTAATAAATATAAATACACGTTTTATTGATGTTTGTACTGTTGGTATTGCACTCCCAAGTCAGCCAATCTGAATCAATCTGATCCCAAATCATCGCTGGGTGCGGTGAAATAATTTTGGCGTTTCGTTTTTTTTTTACCTCTTAAATGAAGCACGGCACGAGAACTCTTAACTAAAACTAATCCAAAACTAAGACTTAGAACTTCCTATGTTAGCTAGAGTGGTTGGCTCTTTCCTGATGCAAGCAGCCTGAAATGCATACGCGAAGCCTATGCATGTGTTTCGCGAAATCTTTTTTTTACGAAAAAAATAAGGAATAATGTTTGAGTTAATTGAATATAGTTTGCGCCTAATTATATACAATGTAAACTCGCGTGGGTGATATTGTAATTTCTCAACGCAACTCCTTCCTGCTGAACTATGGGAATGGTTATAGCTTAGTCATTGGAAGTTGGAACATTGGAACAGTCGTTGGAAATACGATTATGTTTGAGGACAAAAAGAATGTAAACGTTTGTGGGACTCCCGCACGTACATTCGGCAATCGTACATACATCGTACAATAGCAGTCAGCAACCATCGGAATGGTGGAACCACCGGGATGACTTGGCATTTTTACTTGTCATTCTGTGGTCCTTCCATTCTTGGTGCACGCAGCGTAATTTTATTGGATATATATACAGAAGTGCATGAATAGAGACCCCTGTATTTATGGGCTCCTGATATTGTTATTTGTACAAGAGATGAATAATGGATGTATTCACAATATTAAATGTGCACTAAAACGGTTCAAATGGTGTATATAGTTAACGTGCAATTGCTCATATTATAAGACAGAAACGAGGACAGAAACAAGGTGCATGTATATATATATATATTATACTATAGCAAAGTACCCGTCCTTCGGACGGTGGGAATTCATGAATGAGTGTATTAGTGTTGTAGCTCACCTAAGGATCAAGGGCTTCTTTGTAAACTATGTTTTTGGTCTTCGTGTCCTATGTGTGAATGAACATCGCCGTGGGTTTGCCTACTCGCGAGAGGGCAACATAGAGCATGCCATGGGAGAAGACAGGTGTGGTCACGTCCAAGCCTATGGTAGTGAAAGTCTGTCCTTGGGCTTTGTTTATTGTCATAGCATAGCAAAGGCGGATAGGGAATTGCAGTCTTTTAAATTGAAATGGAAGATCTGATGTTGAAAGTATGAGTGGTATGCGTGGTATGAATACGGTTTTGCCAGTTGCTGGTCCATGTAGGATGACGACGTCTATGCCGTTATTATATTTAGTATTGATTGTGATCGTTAGTCGGTCGCGTGGACTCGCGTGGCAATTGATATAGCGTCGCCATCAGACCGCCTCTAGGTATCACCGAGTGCGTACTGCTGCCACGCGGCCGTATATATGTCGCGGGCGCGAGCGTTGCAGTGTGTTCACATGCCTAGTTCTTCCAGGTACTCTTTTTACGTGGATAGTGCAGGGTCGCGTCGAGAGAGAGAGAGAGAGAGCAAGAGAGAGAGAGAGAGAGAGAGAGAGAGAGAGAGAGAGAGAGAGAGACACACACACACACACACACACACACACACACACACACACACACACACACACACGACACGCGCGCGCACACACACAC